CCCGTATATACGTTTTTAGCAAAAGGACCACACACTGTATAGTGCCATATCATGTTATATTGTTACATTTGTGAATAAAACACCGTTTTCAAGTAAAAAAATAGGTATATTTCATTTAAATTATATCCAATCACCTTTTTATCACTATCTTAGTTCCTAGAAAATGTACATGATGGCGCTCTAGCAACCAGTACCCTTAGTACGAGTTTTACAATAGGGTATATGACAGTGTTAAAAATAAAGTGCCAATTGTTACCATCTGTATTTAGAATGAATATTGCCAGGGGTTTTTAATATTTTTACAAAAAAAATATTTATAATTTTACTAAAAACCCAAGAAAAAGATAATAGTTTTCTTATCTATTGTCACGTGACCCAAAACGCTTGGGATTGGCGTAGCCTAAAATGACGTCACACTCAAGTAAACTTCCGGTTAAAGTATAATAATAATATAATAACTTTATTTCTCACCACAAATGACAAAAAAGGTTTACACAAAATCTTAGGCGAATTTTATAATCATGTCGTGACATTACATTGTATTGTTTGGCGTTTTAATGACAGTCGTGTGACGCCACACACTAGTAAGACGCCATATTGTGCAAAGGAATGCTTTCGCCGCAACTTGAAAATGGAGTTTTTGATTTGGTTAGTTTTACTGAAATACAGAACAAAATGATGAATATCCACTTTTTACGGAATCCATAAACATTAGTCAATAACGTGAGATCTCAAACTCGTACTAAGGGTACAGTTTTAATAATCATCATCAGCATATATTATTGTCTCCACTGCTGGGGCACTGGCCTTCCCTATAGATGGTATTACCTGCTTCACGTCTTGGTGACCACGACACGGTTTATGTTATTACACTACTATAAGTCCGTATTTAGAAGATTTTGGAAAATAAGAAAACACATTACTGATCAATAGCTCTCTTGCGACTGAAATTTAATTGTATAAAATGGTGGATGTATCCGCCGACACAGGTGGTTTTCCAATTACAGAGCATAATGCGACTCAGTGGCGCACAATGCCGAATTATGCTGATGCTTAATTGGAACGTGAATTAGTTTTCAAATGCACCAGCAGAGTGCGCTAAGATCAGTTATGAAAAAAAAAGTCAATGTATGTACCTTCATCCATACTTATATTTATTTTATAACACAGTTTGAATTAACTTTCATTATTTAAAAAAAAAACTACAATGAAACGAAAGCTTTAAAAATTTTTCAACAATAAATAATATTACTAACGATATTAAATAAATAAAACATTTTGACATAAATAAAATGCCAACTTAAAGAAAAGACACTTGTTAATTTTCTGTCACTGAGTTGGTACGATTGTACGCATCACACGAAAACATTACTTTTGAGAGTGCTCGATTTTGCGAAGCGTTGCTGTAGTTGAAACATTCAACGTTAAGCATAATGCGCTCTAGTGCTGTAATTGGAAAACTACCACATACATATATCCGCAATACATTTGGGTATAGTATAGGAATGATGTAAGGCATAAAATTACGTAAACTCAACAACATTCAATGTATCCCTCCAGATGGAATAGGGAGAGTGGGCCGTGACTGGAGTTACTATTTAAAAATTTGAAAAGTCCTGACAAAAAGCCGGACATTTCGATAAAAACTCCGGACATTTTAGTCACAAAATGCAATCATCACATACTTAGTTGAGGGGGGTATCGTTATTGATTTTTAAAGATGATTTATATTGTTTTAATTTATTGAGAACTTAATAAATTTGACTTATTTGATATAACTTAATAAGTAGTTTTACTCGTAATCCATCTAATTAAAAAAAATAACAAAGACAAATTAAAAAGCCGGACAAAAGGCAATAAAGTTCGGATATGTCCGGACAAATACGGACGGTTGGTAACCCTAGCCGTGACCCACCACGCGGGCCCAGCGCGGATTGGTTGGATGCTAACGACTGCAGATGCAGCCGGGACCAACGGCTGAACGTGCCTTCCGAAGCACGGAGGAGCGCGAGAAAGTAAATTTTTGGTCACCCATCGAATGACAGACCAATGCGAAAGTTGCTTAACCTCAACGATCGCAGCCGAACGCGCTTACCACTTGCGCCATCGAATTCCTTGATTCAATAATCAACCTCCAGTAAAAAGTAACGATACTCCGGTTCCGTTTCTCTAACAGGCCTATCTCTAAACTGCAGTTATTATTAAAAGACCTTAAGTAAAATAAGACCGTAAGAAAGATTGTTTTAAACAGTCCAAAGTAAATAACGAAATCTAAAATACTATTTTTTTTATGAACATAGACAATACAAAACTCTGTTATGTGAAGGAGACACGTAATTTTCTAGTATGCTACAGCGCCATCTAGCACTATCTTACAATAAATAACGACGGACAATCATTATTGAATAATTTTCATATAAAAATAGTGATCTATTATTAAAACATTTGTAAAATTAAATTAGAAAGATAAGTACATAATTATCTAATAGTCTGCTTAATTAAAAGTCTTAATGGAAAAACTAACAGCTGGACAGAATAAAAAAATGGGTGCGTGTACTTATGTAGGCGCGTGAGAAGTTATCCTTCTTTGGCATCGTTTAAAATTAGTTTTTAATTGCATGCAAATAATTAATTACAATAAATTAATAATAAATTTCATTCATCATTTCATTACATTTCATTTCAATGTCCCGTTCAAATCTGCCCTGTTTGCTTTGTTCAAATCTGCCCCACGGTCACTTGGAAAATAAAATATTACAAATAACGCGCCCGCGGCTTACTTCATTATGTTAAAATTTTGTGTTACAGTGATGAAAATTACACTCTCATAATTTTTTCATAACGCGGCTAAAGAAGTATAACTTCAAAAATTAAGGTATTCCAGAGAGATCTATTCATAAGAACTTGCAGTAAGCGTATTTTCATTACGGTTAGCATGAACCAATATCGAATTCGTATCGTTTGCAAGTCTGAAATGTCATTGTCAAATGTGAACTGATTTTTAGTTCTCGGTACGTACTTTGTGGCGCTGCTGTTCAAGTTTATACAAATTTTGATTTTGTCATTGACATTTAGCACTCGCAAACTATTCGAATTCGATAATGGTTCGTGCTAGAGGTACTGATGACGCGACGTGACGCAGAATTGCGAAAAATATAATAAGGGAAGAGTAATTATATCTAATTACTAGTGGCCCGCCCTCGCTTCGCTTCGGTGTAGAGCTGTACAGTAGACTAAAATGAATTTTTATATAATTCTAAACAAAAACTGAAAATGGTATATTTGCCTTTTCCAAACTTCTATTGACATCACGTCACTCAATTGTTTTGCCTTCCCAGAACCTCTCCACTAACATTTGTAATTTATGGTATGGTATTAAAGTTGAAATTTTAAGTATTATTACGAATCGTTTGTATGGGAGTAGAGAAAAGTGTTGTTTTTGGACTTTATCAGGCATTTTTTATTTAATTTTTCTCTGCGTAAGAACCATCCTCTTATTTCAAGGAATATTTTAAAAAAAGAATTATCGAAATCGGTTCAGCTGTTCTCGAGATTTGCGCGTAGCAACACATTCAGCAATTCATTGTTATATTATAGATTATATATTTTCGCAATTCTGATAAGGGGGTAAATGAATTAGACTATTACTATAATAATAATAAATAGGTACATTATATGTATTTAATATAATAAATGGAATGTTATTTTTGGTTGATAAACAAAACAAAAATAAGCCTCCATTATTTTTTGAAAATCTAACTAACGCACCAAATAGAATTTCGAAAAACGAGTCTTATAATGCTTTTAATAATGTAAAGTTCTTAGCTGAATACCTTCAGGCACCTTCACGCTAGAATGTTTTATACTTTTGAACACTTATCGACTTTGCGTGTAAAAAATATATGAAAATTTGATCCAGAAAACGACATAGACAATGGACACTTGCATGAAATTGACAGCGATACAAAAGATAAAACGCAATAGCCTCGTCTCTCTCACACTATCTGGGGGCCAATTGCCTAACGGGATTGCTTAAGAAAACGCTATCGCTTACGATTTCATTTTGTTATTTCTAGCCACCTGAGGTTTTTAAATGCCTCGCATTCTTTTTTTCTTTAATATATATAAAAATATTAAAGAAAACGAGCATGAGGTATTTGAAAACCTTCGGCGGTCAGAAATAATGAAATCGTAAGCGATAGCGTTTTCCAAAGCAATCCCGTTAGGCGAATGGCCCCCTGGTCAGTTCAACATATAACTATACATACTAACATATAACGGCAGGGACAGGAACACTCGGACCTTGGGTAACATTGTGTAACAAACCTTGTTTAACAGCGTTGTGGAAACTACAATATATTATCGAAAACTAATAATTTAATTACTACAGACAAACAAAGAATTCCGCTTAAGGGGCCAATGATTATATAGTCTACCGTAGTCGATGTCCTCTAAATTGTCCTCCCGATAATATTTTTTTCTACTTGTAAAATGTACTTAAGCATGCATTTTTGACATCATGTAGCAAGCGCCAATAATTTGTTTTTTTACTTTTTGTGAGCGAAAAAAAAATGTTTTTTGAACTAGGGAAAAAGGGGGATGCCCCCCCTCCACTTGTTTGGCATATACTACGGGTAGTAGAGGGGTAAAAAAATGTTTAAGGTGGGTCACGTATTATGGGTACGTTCCCCTAGTCAAACTCGTGTTCCAGTACAATAGGGATGATGACTATTTTTTTTTCTTCGTTTATCAGGTAGATTATCAAAAAGTATTGGACACGTATTTTTTCTTTTTTCACATAATATAAACATTGCAGAGATATATTGATTTGAAAAGTCGCATGACGTCACGTTTTGGTACAATATTCACTTAAAAGTGACGTCACGAGCCCCTACTCCCAAACTTTGACGCGCTGTAACTTCGTCATTTTTTGGTTGATAGCCCAAAGAAAAAATACGTTTCCATTATTTTTTGATCATCTAACTGAAGGGTTAAATAGAATTTCGTTTACTGTACCCCGTCAGCACCTCTATTCAGATACAAATCAATAGTAATCAGGCACGGGAGCGCAGGCGATCTTCACAAAGTCTTCGTAGCGCACTGTGCCGTTGTTTGATACGTTCGCTTCGCGGAATATGTTGTCAACCTTGGGGAAACCATAGAAACTTTGAGAACAGTAGGATCTTATCGTAAAAGTCTTTGGAGACCTATGCTCAATAGTAGACAGTCGTATAATTTAATGACATCTTTATATGGTTATAATTTAAAATTTTTAAGCATGTAACTGCTTGATGTTCAAATCTAAGGAAAATATAACAAGAAAAAATTCCGCGCGGACCAGGCAGCAGACGGGCCTCGAACCCGCACCCTTTGCTATCCGGGCGAATGCACTGACCATTATGCTACCGCGGTCTAGCCTTAGACTGCAAGGCAGCGCCATCTCTTCGCATTGTAGGTACCTCACAACGTCAAATGACATACCTTTACAAGTACCTATTTAACATTTGTAAGAAGAAATAGGTAGCAATTATAGTTAAGTTTTTATTTTTTAAGCATTCAACTGTTGAAAGAAAAGTTTACTACAAAAAGTTTTCTCTAAAACACTTTTTTTTACACTCAAACATTTGTCTTGGATATAACCAGCAGTTAAATGATTAAAAAAATAAAAACATAATCCTATTGGTGTGTTCAAAATATTCATTTATTCTTATACCTCTCTAGCAGACAACCCTTCGCCCCAGTTTTGCAGCAAGTTGCGTAGTTGTCGCGCCGGAATTACACCCCCTTTGTTGCCATCACCTGCCTTGAATGCGTTCACTACCTGCCGTTTGACAAATTATAATTTTGAACAAAATACATAATTTTATTCATTTCCCACTTAGATTAAAACAAAAAGGGTAGATACGGTACGCTCATACTAGCATCAAATAAAATATGATCCGACTCAACTACATATAAGCAACTTCACACGCACACGTCTGTAAATAAACATTCAATCGAGCGAGCGAGACAGAACTGTACGCTTCAACGCAGCGCGAGCGAAACGGCGACTCCGCACGGCTGAGCTGTATTGTCGACCCTTTCTTGATAACAAAATGGCGGTTACGTAAATAGGATTCACGACAAACCGTGATTTTTGACAAAAAAAATATTGTTAAATTTTATGAATGAAAAGTGATTCTGAGTCAATTGTTATTTAATTTTGAATAATTTGTGTTCTTTATAAAAGCATCGAAGGCATTGATTTATCTTTATAACACGGAATATACGCAATATTGTTATGTTGAGTGCGCATGCAGCGTGTTTGAATGTCCAATTGTAACTAAAGCTAATTGTGGTCATACAACACAATTCAAGCGGATCATTTTTAGTGCCCTATCTTCCCTTTTTGTTTTAATCTAAGATTTCCTATGTGCTATAGAGCCGGTAAATGGTCCTGAACGTCTAGAATAATATAAAAAGCGCTAATTAGTGTTTTATCAGACTATTTGTCCCGTAAGTTGACATCTATAAATTTCGTCACGCAAATTTAATTATTTTTTGAATGCCCCATAGTCGTTGTCACAGGTGGTCACACATTTGTAACCACCCACACACGATAGCCATTAGAATGAGATATCATTTAACTCTGAAAACTCTGACGAGTTTTGTTACAGGATCGTTAAATCAACATAAGAAGTAACAGAATTTTTAAAATAGTATTTTCAACTTCTCATTTCAAAATTAATTTTATTAAGAATCCCTTGTCGTGTAGTGGCTATCTACGTGAAATTGGCAGAATTGTGGGTATATCCCCGTTGAGTTATAAAAAAGAAAGAAGAAGAACTCTGACAAGCAATAAATTGAATTTAATTGTCAATTTTTAGCATGGCAATTACTCCCTTACAAAAGTAGCAAACAGTCTAATCCATATTAATTAAATAACTAAATATTTAGACAATCGCTATGAGATGCATATATATTGTATTGTTAGCTATAATAATATAAAGCAGTAAAGTGTATTGATGGTTACATTACCTCGATAGGAAGATTTTCGGCTCGTGAATGGATATGCATCACTTCAAGGAAGTCGGCAAACGACATCTTGCCACCTTTGCCTTTCAAATAACCTGCAACAAAGAAACAAAGTGTTTTTGTTATATGTGGAAGAAGCAGAAATGTTAGGTCAGGCACACAAGTCAAATTAATGGCCTAAAGACTTTGGTTTCTTTTAATTTGGCTACTGGCTGGATACTTAATACTAGAAAAGTTTATTTCGTCCTTCGCAACTTTTTAGTTTTGTTACATGTGATGACTCTTCAGGGGCAGAAAATGTATAAGGTGTACCCTATGGGGGCAGTAAATGGGTACAAATTTATTAATTGGGTGGTACCTTCATGCAATACGTTTGATAACCTCTGGTGTTCACAATATCAATGTTTTACTGTTTGTTATGTCCCAATTTAATGTCAATTTAGTATTTAATGCAACTTATTACATTGTTTTAGAAAAATTCCTACGCAGCTCAATATGTTTTTTGAAATATCACTAATTTGGTGAAGACACAGGCAGAACAGAATTTATTGTTTTATTATCTTTGGCACAGTTATCCTTGTAACGCCCGCGGTCCCTAATAAAATACTAAAACAAACATAGCCTGCAGGCCCACCAATTCATACATACTCATACTCTTAAACGCCCACGGTCCTTTTTTAACGATTAAATCGTTTTAGTGATACTGTGGATTTAAATTTGCCGTTCTGAGTATAACCAACATAAAAATACATGTATTGGGATGGCTGCTATCTATGGGCGCGAGTTGAGGTGGATTAAAAAAAAACAACAAAATTTCGCATTATTTTTATTTTAATTAGCTATTTGATATCCAAGTATAGAAGACTGATTATGGAAAGAGAGTAATTATTATTTTCATTTTGCTTAATGGTTTATCAAATTCAGAATTTGTTTATAACCATTTAAATGTAATAATTACTGACATATAATAACGCCGTTAATAACTAATGTGTACGTAATGAGTTTCTGTAATTGGCCTTAAGATTATATCTATATTTTATTGTATTAAATTTCACAAAAAACCGCTGTAGAAACTTTGTTAAAGATAAATAAATAAATAAACCATAAGTGGACATTATTTTTATTATGGGTTGCTATTTAATTTCTTTTATATAATACAGGGAGAAAAAAACAGCCCTTGCTGAGTTTCTTGCCGGTTCTTCTCACTACAAGGTCTCCCGCCGTAGATTTGCGAACCGATGGCGTAGCTTTTCGACATTCACAAGTGCTTGTAACAGCCTAGACTGAATAAACGATATTGAATTTTGAAGAAATTTTTTTTCTGACGAAATTCTTTTACTATAGAAAGAAAGATTGTTAGTTTTATGTTGCTGAGTAGATTCTAATCAATTAATTAAAGTTTCATTTACTACAAAAACTGGTTTTTGTGTGCTACTTACTTCGACTCTACACCCTTTTCAACGTACTGAAACATAATTATGTTTGCATTTAATGCAAAAAGTACTTTTAAACGTATTAAATAAAATCACATGTGTATTGCCTTTAATACCCAAAGTACTTTTTTTGCGAATTGAATTTTGATCCTATTTGTTGTTCAAAAATGGCCTTTAGGATCCTAATAAGCTGCCAAAGAAATTTCATCTATATTGCACAACCCTAAGCAACTTAATATATTTGGCAAAGTTTGGGTCTGAACGACAATAAAAATTTAGGATTTAAAAAAGGACCTTGGGTTATAAGATATGATTAGCATTAAATGAAGTTGGGCGTTACGAGGTTATATATGACTGAATTTCGTAATATAGTTCCACAGAAGATTAACAAATCTCTCCCCAAAAAGTTCCTTTAACATAAAAAGAGAATAGAATGTCAAAAACCAACTTAACAATTCATATAGACTCACCAGTAAGCTCCTGGATAGTAGGGCTCATCCCAAGCGACCTCATCACCACCGTCAACTCATCCAACGATGTGATCTGACCAGACCGTGCGAAGAGGTAGAAACATTCACGAAACTCTGCAAAATTGTACAGAAAGAAGTCATGGCTCCGGAATATCCGGGAGTGGACCGGTATTGCCTCCATCGAACAGCTGTTCCGGCTAGCTGCTGATAGAAATATATACAGGAATCTAACGGCCAACCTTCAGGATTGAAGAGGCACTGGAAGAAGAAGATTCCATATAAAGGGTAAAAATGGAATCCTATTACTACACAGTCCGTCTGACACCAGGCTGTATCTCATGAACTGTGATAGAAAGTTGAAATTTTCACGTATTATGTTTTTTTGCTGCTTTAAAACAGAATAAAATAAACATTTAAGTGGGGCTACCATATAACAAACATGATTTTTTTTGCTTGATTTAATATTACTTTTAGTAAATCCAAGGAATTACTTTTAAAGGTCATATGGTAAGTGATCTCAATGTCACCATAATGTCTGGAGTTTTATGGGTTTTTAAGCGACATAGCCAGAGTGCTGAAAAAAGAAATTGACCTAAATAAAATTTAAATGTCCACCTTGAAAAGTTACTGGGTCAATATAATTAAAATATTAATGAGATCATTACAATTCGAATACTTTCAAGAAATTAGTGATAGGTTAAGTGCTCAGATAACAGTAAATTTATCAGTTAAAGGGCATAATTAGTGGAAATACAAAACATACCATCTATATCCTGCTCTTTAAAATAACGCGCCTGAAAATAATATTGAGCATTAACAACACTTAAAATTATATAATGACATTCAAGATGTTAATAAGGAATAAAAGAAAATTTATAAAATACGTACCATTTTATTAAAAAGTACCCAGTTATTACAGAAAATAGGAAAATAGAATTGCCAGATTCCACTGTCCAGTAAAATGACAGTCAATGTCATCGTCTGCTGTCATGGCAACAAAACTTTTTTATTTATAAAGAAAATTCTAAGAAATCTTTTTAGGGAAGGCAAAGGAAACAATGCCCATACAGCCTAGTATTTAGTTATATAAATCCTCTTTTTATTTTACAGTAGAATGTCGAAGCTTTTGTGAGGTAGTCAAAACTAAAAAAAATCTCTGGTGCACTTAACCGGAATAGCGTATATTTTAAAGATTCCACTAATTATTTAGTTGCGCAGATGGTTGTAACACGAAATCACACCAATTATATTTCACAATATCCACTATGAATGAATTTTAGAATAAATAAAATAAGACGCCAACTGCACTCAATGAAATCCCGCCAAAAACTAAAGTCAGTTATGTCAAAGTCACGGAGTATTGTTTTTTCATACGGGTTTTACGTCCGTAATTTACCCCATTTCGGCCTTTCATTAGTACAATCAAATACTATAGAAAATTAACGAGTTCTTTAGTATTTAGTACAATATATCTCTAAGTTATAGTATACGTCACATCAACATTCTAATGTTAAAAAAGAAGATTAATAAAACTAGACTAGGCTGTATGGGTATTGATTTCTATGCCTTTCCTGAAATGCGAGAATCTTAAGAAATAAAAAAACATGACGTTATTGTGACAAACTTATCAGCTGACAGAATCCTACCAAAACTATTTTCCTTTAAAAAATCATCAAAAACGACAAAATTGTTACATAAAACATTTAAAGTACAACATCCACACTGTAACACGTCGTACTGTTTTCCGCATTGAACACGTTCACGATAATGGATTTCAGTTTTGGTGTAAAGTAAGTATAGTGATTTTTCATTGTCAGTGTTATCTAATTATACACTATATATTTCAAGGGTATGCCTCTGTAAACTCATTAGATCTTACGCCGTGTTTAAATACAGATATTCGTCCGTTAGCCAGCTAAAAATTGATTTTTATGTTTATCATTGCTGATGTGTTTTTGAAGGCTTGTTAATCTGATGCAATTGCAACAAATATCAAGGAAACTATATATACAGTTTTGTGTTCTACTAATTGACAAGAGAATCCTTAATTACATGCAACATTGTAGTGTGATAAACATGATAAATGTGAATGCCTTAATGTTTTCTTAAGTGGGATAGTGTGATGTCATTTTATTGATTTTTGTGACATGTATCATATCAGAAAAGGTAACAATATTATTTCAATTATAAACAAGCTAGCTGGTTGGATAATGTACTATGTATTCTTATATAACTATTATTATCAACACAAAATTTCTGCAGGACTGGCAATACAATAAATTCTTTCTCTTAAAGCAACAAATACAAAAGACAAAGTTAATTCTGTTACACTGAATCAGTCAATGCTTTGTGCTTTATCTATTTGTTCCAAACAATACGTAAATACTGATGTCAATATATTTCCTGCTGATTAAAAGTTTTGTTATAAAAAGATAAATAATGTTTAAAATCTTAATATAACTAAAGTCTTATTCTTATTATGGCTCAAATCAGAATATTATTATGGCAGCTTAGTATTATATTTTTATTTCAAGCATTTAACTGTTAGATGTTAAAATCTTAAGAAAATATTGCAAGAAAAACATCTATTCGGGCCAGGTTTCAGATGGGACTTGAAATTTGTTCTAGCAATATTTTCTTTAGATACTATAGCTTAAGTCAATATCTTATAAGATACATTTTCTAACGCACTATTTCAAATAAGATTTAACTTTCACTGAAGTTTAACTTTCACATAAATTTAGAGAAAATTTATTACTAGGAAAAATTCCATTCATTCCGGTTTCAGACTAGATCCTGGGCTGTTTTTTTTTCCTAGTAAACTTTTCTTTAGATTTAAACATCTAGCAGTTAAAAGCTTAAAAATATATAAAAACATAACTATAATTGCTATTTCTTCTTTCAAATGTTTAATACTTGAAAAAGTATTTATTTGACATTGTGGGTTACCTACAATGCGAAGAGATGGCGCTGCCTTGCAGCTTAAGGCTAGGAAAATTTCGACGCGGCCAATAGGGCCGTGGTTGCATAATGGTCAATGCATTCGCCCGGATGGCGAAGGGTGCGGGTTTGAGTCCCGTCCGCTGCCTGGTCCGCGTGGATTATTTCTAGTAAACTTTTCTTTAGATTTAAACATCTAGCAGTTAAATGCTTAAAAATATAACTATAAAAAAGCCTTTTACAGATGTTATTTATCACAAAATGATATGATTTTGCTCAAATATATGAAAAAAAAACCTTATACTGTTTACCATACCAATTAAAGTTGTATCCAGTTCTGATTTAATTGTTTAGTGGTGTCGATTTTCTAAACTTAAAAGTTAATTTAAAGTCAGTCTCTCCTTTTCAAGCAGTATAGTGGATGACAAGGATACACCATCGTCAAATTTGATTTTAGGTCGGCATCAGTAACAACAATGTATGAGAGTTATTCAACAATTTCTATATAAATCTGTTTCAGGAACATCATGGATCATGTGAACTGCGACTAAGAATCAGCAGCCATGGAGGAACCCTACTCTACTATATCGAAACCTTTAAAAACTCACTTGGGCCACTTCAAAATATCATAGGTTTCTGATAAAAGAACGGTAGTCGAATTATTAGTGCAAATTTATTTTACCGATTGTATAGTTACTGAATGTATTTATTATTATTTTTTAATTGTTGAAGTTGAAGGTTAATTGTGAATTTTATCTGTTTATGTTGATTCCAATATTTTTTTATTGTGTATTTGTTACGAGTTTATGGGTACCGTAGACAAGGGTTGTAATAGTGATCTATGTAAGACATAGTGTTTATAAAGTTACCAAAGAGATTATAATATATAAATATAGTGAGGGAATATTTATTTAGAGAAAGATATATATGTTAGATGCTATTAAGTTTCTGGAGCAATAATAATAGTGAAGTTGAAGACAAAGACAGAAATACTGGTGACAGTGAGTGTGAAAGAGAGGCAGCTAAGATGGCTACAATGGTGGAGTCACCTCCCCCACATCTTATAACTACTATAGAATGGAGCATGATGGACAAGAGCAAGTTTTTCCCGTTATATACATTGAGCAGTTTTACAGGTGAGTAATTATTATTATTATTTTATATGAGAAGCTCGATGGCGCAGGTGGTTAGCGCGTTCGGCAGCGATCGTTGAAGTTAAGTAACTTTCTCAGTGGTCGATCATTGGATAAGTGACCAAAAATTTACTATCTCGAGCTCCTCCGTGCTTCGGAAGGCGCGTTAAGCCGTGGCCCCGACTATATTCGGTGACTCATTTCTTTGTCGCACTATCCGTAAATGGAATGCTCTGCCTGCTCACGTGTTCCTTACAACCATCCCAGGTTGTAAGAATCGGCACGCCTTTAAAAGAGGCGTGAAGAAGCAACTTGCAGGTCGGCAAGGTGAGGATGGCCGGTGTGGCAGGTAGAACTGCTTTACCAGCTATCTTCACATCTGGACTTCACCATCACTTAACATCAGGTGGGGTGGAGTCATTTGTCGGACCGATCCATAAAAGAAAAAGGGTCATCGAGACAGCTTTAGAGAAAAAATTTCTTTGACATTGTGGGTTACCGACAATGCGAAGAGATGGCGCTGACTTGCAGCCTAAGCAACGCTAGAGTAAATTCGACACAGCCATCACAGGCAGCGGTAGCATAATGGTCAGCTGTGCATTCGTCCGAATAGCGAAGGGTGCGGGTTCGAGTCCCGTCTGCTGTCTAGTCCGCGTAGATTTTCTAGTAAAATTTTCTTTAGACTTAAATATGTAGCAGTTAAATGCTTAAAAAATAAAAATATAGAGGATTTCTTTTCAAAAACTATATTTATTTATTTAATCCATTCCCCGGTGAAAACTGAATTATGATCTAAATGTAGTACAATACCCCCTCCCCCTGTCAATAACCCTATCGATAAGATACTCGTTACACTACAACAGTTATTACATTGTGTGAGCAGATTAGAACATGACACAGTCAGTCAATCTGTCTGGCTTAATATAATGAAAGTGACGCATGTTTTGTTATCTATCATTCAACTGTCCTAATTTATTGGACAAAGTCGTTCGTTAACGGGCATAGAGCAACACGACCGACGTGGCCACGAGGGGAGTTTAGCCATAGTGACCTTAGATTAAAACAAAAAGGGATGATACGGCACTCGCGGCTCAAAAGTGATCACAATTCGCTGTAGTCACAATAGGGTATTTGACAAGTTTAAGAATACGATCTCACGTTATTTACTAATGTTTATAGAGTCCATAAAAAGTGGATATTTATCATTATGTTGTGTATTTCGGTAAAAAAAACTAAATCAAAAACTCTATTTTCAAGTTGCCGCGAAAATCGTATCTCTGGACAATAGACGTCTCACTGGTGTGTGATATCACACGACTGTCATTAAAACGTCAAACCATACAATCTAATGTCACTTTAAGAGGAAGTTTACTTGCGTGTGACGTCATTTTAGGCTCCACCAATCCCAAGCGTTTTGGGTCACGTGACAAAAGACAAGAAAACTATTATCTTTATCGTGGGTAACAATGCAGATATACAGATGCTAACAATTGGCACTTTATTTTTAAATACTGTCAAATAGCCTATTTGTAGGTAAATAAGTGACACAATACTACTGAAATCATTTTGCAACTTTCTGCGGGGGGAGGAATATCCACACAAATCAAGTCCAACATACTTTCGCAAAAACGAAATTATAATTACGACACTCAAACATAAACAATTACAACGCTAAATCTGAAATTTATTGACAGATCTGAAATTTGTACTGGCGAGTCGATTGTTTTGTCGAAGAAGTCCGAAGATTAATAATAATAATATTTTTTTTATTTTGTCATACCACAATCTAAATAAAAATTCCATGAAGTAATGGTACAATGTGGCAGACTGTGGTGGGCTAAAACCTGAACTAAGAAAAATCCTGTATCCCAGGTTATCAACCCTCCACCCCAAACAATGGTCAGAAAACTTATGAATTGTAGGTACTTAGTGAGATATTTTATAAACAATCATGATGGGAAGTTTTGACACACAGTATTCTTATTAAAGAAGATAAATTCTAAATAAATAATACATTTACGACATTTTATAGTTTAAGATTCCAATGCCAATACAGGATTATTTATCAACTTTTAATATTTTTTCTGTTCCAAGATAATCAAAAGATTTTCTTTTAGAGTTGTCTATTATTATTATATATATATTATTATTATATTTATATTGATTGAATTTCTATAAAATAATATTTATTTTCCGTTTAAAAGTGATTACATTAATATGTTAATAATTTTATTCTACTAACATATCAAATGATACACCATCCTTTTTTATATTCGATGTTGCAAACCTGTATTTACAGCAAATTACTGAACAATTTTTAAATGAAAGGTTGTGAATGCTCCCTTCTTGGCCGCGTCGGCCGTGTTGCTCTATGTTTACGGGCTATATAAATTCTTTCGATATCAATGAGATAGTTGTCCCACCGCGCCGACGAGAAAGCGGCTTACTATCGGCCATTTTCTCGCTCAAGACACGTACATTGAATAAATAATAAATATTTCCAACACACACCAATTAGCCTAGCCCCAAAATAAGCACTGTAGGCTTGTGTTACGGGATACTATAGTAACGGATAGAATACATATATGTATAAGTATGTTTATATAGAAATACATATTAAACATCCATGACTGGAGTACAAATGTTCGTATTCTATATTTCCAACATACACCAATTAGCCTAGCCCCAAAGTAAGCACTATAAGGCTTGTGTTATGGGATACTAGGGCAACGGATAGAATACATATAATACTGTACATATGTAAGTATATTTATTTAGAAATACATAATAAACATCCATGACTGGAGTACAAATGTTCGTGTTCAACACACAAATATCTGCCTCCACCAGGATTCTATAGCTCAGGACCTCTCGAGTAGGCGACACCTTGAAACCCAGCGTACATACCACTCGGACAAGGACAGTTATAATAGATATAGATTCCGTGTAAACAATAGAAATACATCATTTGATAGTTGAGCGCTGACTGTTCACACTACCGGCGAGAACTGGCTCCAATATTTTATCGCTGAGCGACAAGAGCTATCGAAGATAACACTCGCTCAGCTAAATTCGTTTAGCAATGCTCGTTTCGCCGTCAGAACGCGCGCGTGTGCATTTTTCCATGGATAAAACTATCGTAACTAAACACTCGTTTCTAGCTCTGCTCGCTTGTAGTTCATCGTCGACGGTCGGACAAGAGCCTTAAGATTTCAACTTTGTAATTAATATAGGGAGCTCGTTGTCGCAAGTGTTTAGAGCGTTTGGCTGCGATCGTTGAAGCTAAACAACGTTCGCAGTGGTCGGACATTGGATGGGTGACCAAAAATTACTATCTCGAGGTCCTCCGTGCTTCAGAATGCACGTTAAGCAGTTGGTCCCGTCTGCGTCTGCGGTCGTTAGCACCCACCAATCTGCATTGAGCCCGCGTGGTGTGTCGTGGCCCAATCTCCCTACTCCATCATAGGGGTGACCTGTGCCCCACCAGTGGGGATATTAATAGGCTGATGAAGATGACTATCGACCGCTATTATTATTTGGTATTCTATTAACAACATAAAAGTATTCTTACTTACGACTTTCTTTCGTGACCAACTCTATTTTGTTTCCAGTGAGATGCGCCCTATACCCCCTAACCCTGGTGAAGACACAGATCCAAGTGCAACGGAAGAAGGAGGCCTACAGTGGGGTCCTTGATGCCATCTCCAAGATCTACAAAAATGAGGGTGTCTCCGGCCTGTATAGGGGGTTCTGGCTGTCCAGTGTAAGTATACAGTGCTAATGGTGTCGATAATAAATTTAAAATCAGTCAGTCACTCCTTTTCATTCTGTATAGAGAATGACAAGGATACACTGTTGTCAAGTTTAGGATAAGAGAATCATGCCAGAATGGATACCAATGTTTGTTTAACAGTAAAAAAACAGTATGATTAACATAAATCATACTGTTTTTTAAGATTCTCCCTTTTAGGAAAGGCACAGGGACGATGCCCATACAGCCTAATCATAGTATAAAAATAGTTTAGAAAACACCGTAATCGCTGAGTTGAGATAATCAGTGTTTTTTTTAAGATTCCCCCTTTTAGGGAAGGCATTGGGACGATGCCCATACAGCATAATCATAGTGTTAAAATAGTTAAGAAAACACCGGTCTCTCACTCACTCACCGACTCATCATCATGATATGATGTTTGTTAATTATCGTTTTTACTGTTTTGCGAGAAAAATGAGTGTGAATCCTCATGTTTGTAATTTCTTTTACTAATCGCTGTAAATGGTATTATGCTGTGTAATTGGAAATAAATAAATAAATTGCTGATGTCCCCACTGCTGAGTACAGGCCATCTCTGTGAATGGAATAGGGAGATTAAGATAGCTCACTGCAATCTTAAGACCACAGAACACTGAAAGAGGTTAGGGGGGCCTTGTGGGCGGGGCAGGTGCGCCACATTGATGTGTGAGCAAATGCTCATAACTTGACCAAAACTTGGTTCGGATTGCGTCGTTGATTGGTTCGATTGTTTGATGTCGGGTCGTTTGATTGGCTATTATCTATTAGGTGGAAATGTAGTAGGGAGTAGCGAGCCGGCGACATATGTTCCCGTACAAACGGTCTATGGTCATTCTTCTAACCCATTTCTGTGTTCTGTGCTTAAAACGTACTGTACTCTCTCGAACTTAGTACAACAATAAATATGAACATATATTAATTAACTCCCTATTCCATCCATAGGGAAGGCCTGTGCCCCAGCAGTGGGGACATTAAAAGGCTGATGATGACGATATATTAATTATTGGTCCAATATTAACTTACCCATTGAAATATTGCATAATTGTATTGAAGTAGTTAGAGGAAGAGAAATTGACGCTTTTGTTTTTAGTTTTTTTCGTAGGAAATAATCTGTGGAACTACTAACAGTTTTTAAAAATGCATTCACCAGTGGAAAGTAACAAAAGGCTTAAGGAGATATTATATGATTTGATATGTACAACGATATTAAAAACCCTTGATAGACCTATGTGCGCTCAAAATGTGTCCCTATCAAGAAGTGCTTGAATACCACTCAAGCACTTCTTGGTTCACCGCCACACGCGGACCGTCGAAAAGTCAACATGCCGCAGAGCTCCGTGAAAAAATGTGAAATGAATACTTACAGTATGTAAAATGTCGTTTTTTCGACAGATATCTCATCAATGTTTGTTAATATAATGCAGAAAATATTTGTGATATTCAAATGCATGGTCGGTAATATAGCCGTCTCTTTTCCTCGCGGTCCGTACCTGCTGTATTGCTAACAGCGCATTCAGAATTGCGCGTAGAGTCAAAGAACTAAGGTCTATATTCTTCTGCATATAGCAAAAAGTCGTAAAATTTTACGAGCTTACATCTCGGACTGCCATAACTTTTTGACGCATGCGCTTTGATAAAGACCTTATACAGTGTGCTTTAAAGGTGATTTTCAATGTTTAAATAACGACTTATAATAATAATAAAAACTCTTTATTTTACACCACAAAATAAACATTATACATAATGGCTGCTTACAGTGTAAAAATGGGCGGTCTTATCGCTAAGAGCGATCTCTTATAGCGATTTATATTGTTTAGATAATGCGATTATCTTACGGAGCTTCGTGGATCGTCCAATGTACCTTTTGGACAGGTTTCGGGCATGATTTTGTTCGTGTTGGTGTATCTAGTATTTAATATCGTTGGATTACCTTTAATTAAAAAAAAGGTTAACATTTATATGAGTAGCTATATGAAGTGACTGATATGTTTTATAAATCCAAAGAAAATTTTACTAGAAAAAAATCTACGCGGACCAGGCAGCAGCCGGGACTCGAACCCGCTCCCTTTGCTATCCGGGCGGATGCACTTACCGTTATGCCACCGCGGCCCTGATAACCGTGTCGAATTTTCTCTAGTTCTAGTTTACTTCTCAGGCTGCAAGAAAATATAACTATGATTTATAAATCTTACCCTCTCGTTGTTAAATGTTATGTTATTATATAAAGCATTCTGTTTGACAGTTTCAGATAATTTCAGGGGTGTTCTACATAACCACGTACGAGGGGGTAAGACACGAACTGGGCAAATACGATCTCAATTCCAAGACAAAGGTGAGTGCTGCTTTATAGAAAAAAATAGCTTTAACTAAATAGAGGAGCTCGATGGCGCAGGTGGCTAGCTCGTTTGGCTGCGATTGTTGAAGTTAAGCAACGTTCGCCATGGTCGGTCATTGGATGGCTGACCAAAAATCTTCTATCTCGAGTTTCTCCGTGCTTCGGAAGGCACGTTAAGCCGTTGGTCCCGGCTGCATCTGCAGTCGTTAGCTCCCGCCAATCCGCAATGGGCCCTTGTAGTAGGTCATGGCCCAATCTCCTTTTTCCATCTTAGGGAAGGCCTGTACCCCAGCAGTGGGGACATTGATAGGCTGATGATGAACTATATTTATTATGGAGAAGCTTGATGGGTTTTTAGTAGAGTATGTGCGGAAAGAGAATGGGCGTGGCGAAAAATGGAACTAACAATAAGACTTTTATTTGGCAATCAAACCCAGCAATCTTTAAAACATCAAGTTTTGTATTGATACGGATTTGTTTGTTGTTGTGATTTCTTGCGGTTTTTTGTATTAAACTACTTGACCGTCACTGAAAGCTTTATATTGAGATAGCACTTCCGTTTCCCGTCGAATTACCATCAGTTTCCGTACTTTTATTCACCTTGTATCCGGTCCAGTGGCGACACCTGGCAGAAGCGCGGCCATTTTTGTTTTCCTAAGTTTTGACAGCGCCATATTAACTCATTGGCGTTCTGACTCCCGTCGAAGCAACACGTCCTCAATCTGAGCGATCGTTGTGAGATTTTAAAGGTTTTATTATTATTAAGTGATAAAACTGTAAGTAAAACTATTTTATTTTAACGGTTTTTGCCGTTCGTGTTATTCCAAATAGGTACTTTACGTGTCAAAAGTGAAGGAATCGTAAGTAAAACTATTATTCTTTTTGATAGTTTTTGCAGCCCTTGTGATAAGGGATATTTAAAACAAATATGTTAAATTGTGCAATACGCTTGTTTGAAAAAGTAATAATAAGCCGTGAGTAAAACTTAACGGCAATTCAAGGTGCGTTTTGTTTAAAAAATTAAAGTACCTACATTAAAGTAAATTTTGCAATTCTTTACGTCTGTCTTGGTCGTTTATCATAAAAACTATTTTAAGAGTGTTTTCTCTTGGTATTCAATTAATGTTTCCGTATAAGTAAATGTGAAAGTAAATTGGTAAATGTATTACAAAATACTTAATTAAATCATTTTACAGTTTAGAGTGAAGGAATATCGGTCAATATTGACGTTTCAGCCGCCGACTGACTGGCATTATTGGCAAAAACAGCAAGATGTGTGGATCTAGTCATTATTGTTCTTCGAACACTGCAGTAATAATTGGTTGAATTTGTCGTCTTCTGGTATAACGAAAGCGGCATCGCTGCCTCAAGAAAAATAAGCGAGCTTGATATTCCAGCCCTTTTATTAAAAGATTGTTCGAGGGGTAAGTGAACTATGTACAATCTTAATAAGGTATTTCTAATGTCGATATGCCGTTTTCTGAACATGGCCAGCTATCAATATCTAAAGGCTTATGAATAAAAAGTTCTAACATTTTTACTGACCAATACACGTAATAAAAATTCTCATATGAGTCGTGTGACTAAACTAGGATAAAGGAACGCTCTGTTCGAAAGACATTCAACGTTTATTTTAAATGATATGCTGATGTAAATTAAAAATTATAATCATAGTCCAGGCTTTATCAACCTGGAAACAAACAACGAGGTAAAGAAGTATGATGATAATTTATGATATATCACGTTCCTGACATTAATTTTCTTTCAGCAATTGCATATTTCTAAAATAAAAATGAATCATTGCGGGAAGGCACCTGCTCAGTTGATTTTAATAACGAAAGTGATAAGATAACAGAATCGTTTCTTAGGTCTTTTACAGCTAGCACAAAGCTAAAAAGTAAAAACTAAAGCACTGCAAGAAGTTAGTGATCTCTGTGATGAAGCACCACTTAATAAGATACCATCTATGAGGTTGTTTTTATCGTATTAAGTATTTGTCATGGATTTAAGTGATTGACATTTCATCAACCTAATGAGCAACTCGCGCAGAGGCAAGTGATATTCATAAGCTTCATCTCATGAAGCCCAAGGCGTGTCAGGACATGCCCTCCCATGGCGTACCTACACATATGAGTACCGGTGGCAAATCACCCTCGCGGGGTGCATATTATATATAATTTGTTTCCACTACGTGGAATCTTATTAAATGCCTCTAATGCCTTGCCTACATATACGAGTACCGGTAGCAAATCACCCTCGCGGGGTGCATATTATATACAATTTGTTTCCACTACGTGAAACCTTATGAAATACCTCTAATGCCTTGCTTACATATACGAGTACCGGTAGCAAACCACCTTCGCGGCGTGCATATTACCAAAACTCTGATGACCGCCCCTCGCGGGGGCATATTATGTATAATTTGCTTCCTCCGTATGGAACTCACTATGAATAAGGACTTGCCTTCCTTGGCTTGCCTACACATACAAGTATCAGTAACAAAACATCGTTGATAGAGAAATATCCTCATCAATTTTATAATCGCCCTTGTGGGGTCATATCACACATAATATATTATTTCCATTACGTGAATATCAATATATGTTCTCCTTAGAACATGTTCGCTTATGGAGTTCGTACTATTATGTAAGCACCGGTAACATACGACACTCGAGTGGAGCAAATTATGCATAATATAACATGTAGTCTATTCGTGATTCATAATTTATTTTTGTGACCATGGGGTCTGTAAAAGTGTAAACGATTCGAAACATTAAAAATAAGTAAATTGAAAATATAATAAATGTCGCTTGACATAATTCATTACTTCCATCGCGTGGAAATCCATACATCAACGCAACGCAACATACCCGCTCATGGCTTGCGTACACACATAAGTATCGGCTATAAACTACCCTCTTAATAGACTATAAAGATCGAACATCGAATGTTGACGTACCCCGTTGGGAAGTGCAATGTACGTGGTTTTTAAGGGCAAATCATTGTATGATAAAAACGAGCATCTGTGCCTAAGTTTTGGTTGTTAACAAATATGAATTTAAAATCTAATCTAATAAATTCTGATCTATGCATCATCATTATGCATTTCTAGGCGTTAGCCCATAACACAAGCCTTTCAATGCCCATTATAAGGCTAGGCTAATTGGTGTGAAGTGTTGACTCGATCACTACGGTTGTTCTACCGTAATATATAATACATTTCAAAAGAAAAAGGAATATCGAAACAATTAATGTTTGGAAAAATTTAGTGCAGGTAAGTTGATAAATTGGGAGCTCCATAAATAATTCTTAAATAAATTTAATGGTATCGCATGCCATTCAAAAGCTTGTTTATCTAAATCCAATATATATCAAACTCCAATCTCAAGTGCAGTACACTAAAAATATGTAAAGAATTCTAAGTTTTCTGCAATTTAAAGACTATCTGCCAGATAAATAGAAGATAACATATTTTCTCTTGAAAATAACAAAAGTAAACCAAATGGGTTGCTCACTCTTTTGATCGCGTAATGAGAGAAACTTGCAATATTAGAAATGTCGTGTATGTGGTGTCTGAGGTGGCCAACATGATCATTTTGATATATAAGTGGTGCTATGTACTGAAGAAAGATTGCACGATCTACCAAATTCTTGAAAGGTTTTGAAGATCATTGTATGCAATTATCCCCTTTATGTTATTTTAGTAAAAAATACTGAAAACTGTTCTTAATATTAAACTTACGCTTTCTAACCTTGCCACGACTGTCTGGAATAAATATACTTCAAACCCTACGCATAGTACATGCATACCTCATGTAAGCTGTGTAAATCTTATAAATAACTAAATCTTTATTTAGTATTAAGTAGTACATATAAATGACTCAGATCTAAGAACTGAAAAACAAAAGAAAAATTACAATCAATTATAGATTCCAGGATGGCAAATGAATTTCATAAAATCTGGTCTGAACTTCGTAATAGCATAATTTATCACGGCAACCCAGCAACAATATAAAAACTATACCAGAGAATTTCGTTGTAAAAACGTAAACTTCAGAAGTTGATCGGTTTCAACATTTTTGTCATTCCGTGGGGTTGTATCAACCACTCCCTACTTCTAACAATAATTATGAATTCACTGCAATCGACCTTGCAATCACTTCCTGCCAATCTAATATGAAAGCTTGGGAAGTATAGTTGAAGAACACGGCACGATATGCTAGCACTACGCTTTTCAACATATTCTACAAAGAGCTATGAGATGGCTCGGAAACGCTGGCTTGCGTGGTTGCATTGGTCTAGGAACAAGAATGTTTATCGGAATAATCCCGCAAGTTGTGGACTCTGCTCTGCACTAACACGATTTTTGAGAGACTTATTTTTAACTCGTGACTTATCTTAAAATACGTACCATTATTTTAAATAAGTCAGTAGTTTTTACATGATATACCAATGGATGATAAGTCTAATTACCTAAGCTCACCTGTCTTGGCAAACACATATATTGAAGTCGATTGTTTTTAAAGAATCAGTCCGTAACCTACTATTCTGTATCTGTAAGTTAACTTATTTCCTTTTCTTCAATAATGTACTTTTTACATCATAATGATCTGTTTCAAATACTTCGTCATATATGTTGTTCTGAACGTCATACAGTAATTATGCTGCGTATTATTTGGTTAAGCATGTGGTACACATGACTTATTCCTACTTCAAATTATCCCGAATCATTGTATTTGTACTGACGAAGATTAGTTTAGCCTTGTTTTGGTTCAAAACAGGTAAAAGTAGTTAAAGACAATCCGATTGGTGACTTGTACCGAATAATGGTAATCGTAAGTGGGACCCTGATTTTTGGTACTTAAGTAAAAAGTACAGTCTTGTAAAATGTAAGACTCAGTATCGAACAACTTTACATCTTTTTCTCTCGTTCGTACGCCTTATTTGTGATATACAAAGATACAAATGAATGCTACACAAGGAAGCGTCCGGTCATTAACAAAACAAATATATGTAGAAGTATATATATATATACTTCGCGAGTTTTAAGCAAAGGAATATAGCGATCAGCTAATACATATGTTAAAGCAGCTTCGTAAACTTGAAGAAATTAAAGGCGTGATTCAAATAATATTATTTGATTCATTTTTAAGCTTACTCGTTTCTTTATACAGTTTCATATAATCTGATAAATGTTAATATTTAAATTTATCATAAATTGTCACATTGGCGTATATATCTATGTACGTGGCGATCACCAGGCGATAACAAACAGGTCTCAATATAAAGCTTTCAGTGACGGTCAAGTAGTTTAATAGCAGCATTTTACCTGAAATAAAATGCATATTAAAATACTTACCTCACTGAAAGCTTTCACTTTAAATTCTGCCTGGTGAAATAATTGAGCCAATGAGTTAATATGGCGCTGTCAAAACTTAGGAAAACAAAAATGGCCGCGCTTCTGCCAGGTGTCGCCACTGGACCGGATACAAGGTGAATAAAATTACGGAAACTGATGGTAATTCGACGGGAAACGGAAGTGCTATCTCAATATAAAGCTTTCAGTGAGGTAAGTATTTTAATATGCATTTTATTTCAGGTAAAATGCTGCTATTTAATCATGTCTAAAAGGGGTAAAACCTTACAAATACGGTAGAAAAGCATTACAGCGCCCTCCAATCTAAATCCCATTCTCTTTCCGCGCAGACTCTACTTTCTACCGTAACCGTTATGTCAGCATCTGATAGTGCTTTGCACGAGTAAAATTTATTTTAAGACGATAAGTCTATTATTACTCAGCCTTCCTAGTATAAGCTCCGTGATATGCTTTAAATCTATATGTTTTTATCCGTTCAAACTTATGAAAAGAACGTGATTGCGTCCTCGTTATAGTTAACTGGAATTTTGGAAATCCCCATATCCAGCGCCCCTAGCATAAGCATCGCGATATGATAGTTGTGAAGTTAGCAGCGAGCGCCGCGACTTGCGCTAACTTCACAGCCGCAATAGGGTATTTGACAGTATTAAAAACAAAGTACCAATTATTAGCATCTGTGTTTAGAATGAATACTGGCAGGGATTTTCATTATTTTTACAGAAAAAATATTCATAATTTTACTAAAAACCCACGAAAAAGATAATAGTTTTCTTATCTATTGTCACGTGACCCAAAACGCTTGGGATTGGCTTAACCTAAAATGACGTCACACGACTCACACGCAAGTAAACTTCCGGTTAAAGTGACATTACATTATATCGTTTGACGTTTTAATAACAGTCGTGTGACGTCACACACCCGTGAGACACCATATTGTCCAGAGAAACGTTTTCGAGGCAACTTGAAAATGGTGTTTTTGATTTGGTTATTTTAACTGAAATACACAACAGAATGATGAATATCCACTTTTTACGGACTCCATAAACATTAGTAAATAACGTGAGATCCTTTTCTAAAACTTGTCAAATACCCTATTGATTTTGATTCGCACAATAACATAGGCTATACTTATTCTAGTATATTATTATATGATAGTTCTAACTGTTGCCGTTATGTCAGTCGTTCATAGGCGGCGGGTGCGCGTCGCTGGTGGGGCAGACGATAATAGTGCCCTTCGACGTGCTGAGCCAACACCTCATGGTGCTGGGGCTGGTCAAAGGCAGGGCGGGAGCCAGTAAAAACCCCGTAAGTATAGTAGTTTTAACTGTTTTTTTTTATTTAGGAACCTTTGCCTTCCCTAAAAGAAAAGAAAAATCTTTTCTATAAGTTAAGGCTAGTCAAAGGCAGGGTGGTTGCCAGTAAAAACCTCATAAGTATAGTAGTTTCAACTTGTATTTTTTTTTTAAATTAGGAAACTGCCTTCCCTAAATGAAAAGTTTTTTTTTCTATGAGTTAAGGCTAGTCAAAGGCCAGTAAAAAACCGGTAAGTATAGCAGTTTAAAATTAAAAAAAAGTTTTTTCTTTTCTTTTACAGAAGGCAAAAAGGTTATGAGCGTAGTCAGATTTTTTTTTTCATATTCAAGCATCGCCACCGTCTCACTGTGGCCACAATTCCAACGCGTACAGAGAAATTTGGTGAATCATTTCTTTGTCGTGCTATCCGTAAATGGTATGCTCTGCCTGCTCATGTATTCCCTCCCTCTTACAACCTGGGATCCTTTAAAAGAGGCGTGAAGAAGCAACATGCAGGCCGGCAAGGCATGGCTGGTGTGACAGGTAGAACTGCTGAATCAGCTATCTTCACGTCTGGACATCACCAACACTTAACAGTCGTTAGCACCCGCCAATCCGCACTGCGCCCGCGTGATGGCCCAACTCTCTATTCCGTCCATAGGGAAGGCCTGTGCCCCAGCAGTTGGGACATTAATAGGCTGATGATAATGATGAATATTCTACATGCCGATATTGTTTCAATGATTTTCTCCTTTCCTACAGAAAATCAACCCCCTCCAGTTAGACCTTGAAAGGCGTTGGACCAAGGCAGCCTTAGCCCGCGAGGTGGCGCTACGAGTCTATAGAAGGCGGGGCATAGGAGGTTATTATAGAGGTTACGCCGCTTCTTTGGCGGCTTATGTGCCCAATTCTGCATTGTGGTGGGCACTATATCAGGCTTATCAGGGTAAGTTACCGTTTAAATACTACTGATTTAATTAGTTTTTTTCAAAATCACTTTTTTTTAACACGTCTGATTGTCGGGCTCTAGTAAATTGAAAATCGTGTCTGACAATTTTTTTATATATATACGTCATGCCCAGGGGCTCTTTGCTAGGAAAACTGAGTATAATACGATCAAACTTTGTTGTGAAGTTAGCAGCGAGCGCCGCGACTTGCGCTAACTTCACATTTCATTTCATACAACGTTTTTCAACACGTTTGCGAGAAAACAGTATCTACTTATAGCTAATTTAAATAAAATGAATCAAACTTTTCCTAATGAGAAAATGGCGCGCATTGAAAGGAGAAATAGCATAGCAATTATAGTTATAATTTTTGTCAGTGTAATCTTACTGTTATATCATTTGTGGTTTTATACAATAAAGAATATTATTATTTTATTTTTGACTTGACAACGTCGAAAGCACCCACCAATCCGCACTGGGCCCGCGTGGTGGGTCATGGCCCAATCCCCCTATTCCATCCATAGGGAAGGCTTATGCCCCAGCAGTGGGAACATTAATAGGCTGATGATGATGATGAAAATATTGAAAGTCACCTTAAACGCATACTGTATGCATGCGTCAAGGACTTCTGACAGTTGGAAATGCTAGCTCGTAAAATTTTACGAATTATTGCTATATGCGGGCCGCGAGGAAAAGAAACGGCGACGTATAACTGAACATGCATTTGAATATCACAAATATTTTATATTAAATCAGTTTGTAGTAAGTATTAGAACGAAATTTGCTTCGGATGCGTTAAATTAACAAACATTGTTTGGATACCTGCCGAAAAAACGACACTGCGTACTATAAGTATTTTTTCGCATATTTTCACGGAGCTCTGCGGCATCTCGACTTTTCAACGGTCTCCGCGTGACTGTGAACCAAAAAGTGCTTGAGTAGTGTTTAAGCACTTTTTTTTCTCTCTTTATTTAAAGGAATTTTATCTTTACAGACATGTCAGTCTCATCGTGTACTTATATAAATTAACAAATCATGTAAGCCAATTAACGTTATATGTTAGGAGCCGTTGAAGTATTACGTAAGCAGATTTATTACAATTACCTTGTCAGCAAAAGTAACCAAAGCTATTACTCCCCCCCTCACGTGCTTACGTAAACATTGGTACCTCTATATGTATTCTGTATTTTTTGTTCATTCATAAGCTTTCATGAGCTTCATGAGCAGCAGTACTTAAATAGCCTTAGGACAGAGGACTTTAATGCACATAATATTCATTGAAACAAACTTTATTGATACAATATTCAACATTGAGTAAGGTCCTATTACGAACAAAACCAACTTCTTTCGAATTTTTGGTATATGTATACAATCTTCAGTCCTTGACACCCGAATCCATGATGCTGACGTAATCACTATCTCGCCCCCCACCCCCCCATGTCATCAAAAATTAGCAACGCAATGACCCCCCTTGCCCCCCTATAGTGCTTACGTAATATTTGAATGGCCCCTTATTGTCGGAAGAAAGTCGCGGCAGACATATAAAGCGATATAGGATTCTAGCCTCTTCCGAGACCGGTTGGGCCAGAATGCTGTGAAACACACCAATGTCTAACATATTCAATTTACATTTGTTAACAAACTCTTGTCTCTCATTCTGGTACCGGACACAATCCATCAACAAGTGCTGGAGATCTTCTACAACACAGCATACTTCACAGTTGGGAGACTCAATTTTTTTCATAAGATATCCAAACTTGTTACATGGATTATGTACAGAAAGAAGTCTATTTAAGGTCACTACAAAGTGTCGACTTAATGACTTCTTGATTGGAACACATTTTGAGCGCACGTGGTATACCTATGGTATTTTATATCGTTGACCCTATAGTATGTTTATTTATTGTCCGAACAGATGAACTCCTAAAGATAAGCCCAGTATGGGTGTCTCATCTTCTAATACAATGCGTTGCGGGAACTATGGGGGGATTCACCACTACAATCCTCACCAACCCGTTGGACATCGTGCGGGCGAGGCTACAGGTAAGGAGCTCCCCTTAAGAGGGGAGGCGGGCAATGTTTCAAATTCTTTATTGCATAGTCACATGGTTAAAAGATGACAATTTAGATAGATATTAGATAGTACATGTGACACCCTGCAAGGGTGTTTGCAATAGGGTGTTTGACAAGTTTTAGAAAACGATCTCACGTCATTGACTAATGTTTATGGAGTCCGTAAAAAGTGGATATTCGACATTCTGTTGTGTATTTCAGTAAAAATAGCCAAACCAATAACTCCATTTTCAAGTTGCCGCGAAAACGTTTTTCTGGACAATATGGCGTCTTATTAGTGTGTGATGTCACACGACTGTTATTAAAACGTCAAACGATACAATGTAATGTCACTTTAACCGGAAGTTTACTTGCGTGTAACGTCATTTTAGGCTCCTCCAATCCCAAGCGTTTTCACTTGGTCACGTGACATTAGATAAGAAAACTATTATCTTTTTCGTGGGGTTTTAGTAAAATTATGAATATTTTTTTTGGAAAAATAGTTAGAACCCCTGCCAATATTCATTCTAAACACAGATGCTAACAATTGGAACTTTATTTTTAATACTGTCAAATACCCTATTTATTTGTACATAAACGTATCTAATAATCTATACTAATATTATAAAGCTGCAGAGTTTGTTTGTTTGTTTGAACGCGCTAATCTCTGGAACTACTGGTCCGATTTGAATGATTCTTTCAGTGTTGGGTAGTCCATTTATCGAGGAAGGCTATAGGCTATATTTTTTTTTCAAAATTAGGGATCCGTAATAAAATTGCTATTTTGTAACACAAGGTGTAAAATCGAAAACCTATTTTTGCGTGCGCTGCAAAAAATATTGACAATAGAACAAAATGATGTACTACGGGTTTGTAGATCCCATTAAGACCTACAAAAAAGTCCGCGAGAACATTTATCTAGCTATCATGGTTTAATCACAATAACCGATTTTGTGTTCAAAATAATTATTAAATCGTCTGAAGAAAAAAAAACTACGTTAAATATGTATCGTAATATTAAAAACACAAAGAACCCTTAATTTTCACCCCTATACCACCCTTATTTTTTATGGTGATACGAAGTTCGTTGGGTCAGCTAGTATTTAATACAATTACATCAGTTACCATCAATTCAATATATGTTTTTTTCCATATTAACGTTCTCGACTAATTCCTCCTTGATTTTTATCAGTAAAGAAATGATTTTCATACATAAAATGCAATTTTACTCATTCTATGCTCCTATGTCTTCCTTTTTTCGATAACTTGTGTTTTAAAGAAACTAGAAGCCATCGAAAAAGGCCAAAAAAATTAACAAAGGTTTATTACAACTAAAGACGTCTAGTGTGGAGATTGAATAAGCATTTACAAAAATATCAAAACATAGAGGCATAGTATAACTACTTATTATTATTTGTGTATAATTTCATTTACATATATCTAATTAGAGGCCCGCCCTCGCTTCGCTTCGGGGTAGAATTGATCAAAATCCTTTCTTGATGCCTACGTCATAACATCTTACTTGCATGCCAAATTTCCCGATCTGTCCAGTGGTTTGGGCTGTGCGTTGATAGATCACTATGTCACTAAATAAATAAATAAATGTCAGTCAGTCTCACCTTTGAGTTTTATATATATATAGATTTTCGATGAGGAGATCGTCGAGAGCCAAACCTCGAATTTTGCAATTTTTATACGCAATTTTCAATGTTAACTACTGTTGTCCATTTCACATGGTATTAGCCAATGCGTGACAGAAATAGTTTTTCAAATACCTATTTCTCAAGTGTTTCGCAGCTCGCGTCCACTCTTAAACTAGCTGAAAATATATGGCGACCATCGGATTTAAGGGGCCTGAAACCTGAAAAACCCTGGATTTAGAGTTTAGTTTGATTAAATAATAATTATTTCTATCACTCGCACCAATTAGCCTAGCCCCAAAGTAAGCACACAATCTCAGAAAACGTATAAAATATACAAACTGAAATAATAAAGACAATTAAAAAAAATACATGCAAAAATAAAACAAGAGCAAGCAACAGTAATAATAATTATAATAAAAAGCAAGCCAATCGTGGCTTTAGTACACTAATTAGTTATATTGTTTTAAACTTTCATGGTCACTAACATTAGTAGTAATCTATGTTATTTACGGGATTGCGCTATGATCACGGAATAACTGAGTTACTCCGTGATCATGGCGCTTGTAACAGTGCCGAAATATCTCGGAAACTCGCTAAAAACAAGGTACATGGTAGCAATCCCGTAAATAACTTATATTAACAATTCTTTTATATTTATTATAACTTTAAATGATTTTTTACTTTCAGCGTGTTATTGTCACCGCCATATTCAACTTTCATTCCTTGTCCACAGGTAGAAGGTGTGAGCACGATGCGTCAAGTATTCCGCGATCTATGGCAAGAGGAGGGCCTGCTCGGTTTATACGTGAAAGGTCTGTCTGCACGTCTGGTTCAGTCCGCTTGTTTCTCGTTCAGCATAATACTCGGATACGAGAGTATAAAGCGAGTGGCCGTCAGCGATGAGTATCGGGCGAGAGTGCGCTGGTGATAGCGAATAATAAATCTAACGCCAGAACTGAGAAGTTTCATTGTGTTAAATCCCTATCTTTTGCCTCAAATAATTCAAAAATAAATTTAAAAAAGCACTGAAATGGGGTTGTATGGGCTTTGTTCCCTTTGCCTTCTCCGAAAAAAGAGAATATTAAAAAAGTACCGGCAAATCACGCCCCAAATTAATAAAGTTTTACTTGACATTGGCTGAACGCACAAACCGTGATGCCACAAAAAAGAAAAAAATAAAGTGCCCGCCAAAACGTTCAGTTACTTCAGTTCAATAATGGGGTAATGACGGGGTACAGTAAACGAAATTCTATTGAGCCCGTCAATCAGATGATCAAAAAATAATGGACACTTTTTCTTTGGGCAATCAACCAAAAAATGACAAAGTTATAGCGCGTCGAAGTTTGGGAATAGGGGCTCGAGACGTCACTTTTAAGTGAAAATTGTAATAAAACGTGACGTCCTGCGACTTTTCAAATCAATATATCTCTGCAATGTTTATATTATGTGAAAAAAGAAAAAATAGGTGTCCAATACTTTTTGATAATCTACCTGATTAACGAAGAAAAACAAATAGTCATCATCCCTATTATCCTTTTTGACAGTTGGGTATTATAGCCGAAGGTACAGCATCATATGGAGCAAAATGAAAACAGTCTTCCTACTTTCAGTGCGGCAGATTCGCGAGTGCTAACGAGTAGGTACTGCCAGGGCCTAAGGATTAACGTGCCCTCTGAAGCACAGATAAACTGGAGATGATAAATCTACGGTCATCCAACCTGGAAGTAAAGATACAAAATAATACTGTTTTTTTTTTCTATCGTGACAAAAACATGAAATACCTAACAAAAGTTTTCTTTCACGAGCACAGAATTCAATTAAGTAAGTTTCTGTTAAAGAAGTATGATTAGAGTTGGTATTAAAGTTTTCTGTTGTGTAAAAGGAAACAGCCACAGACAAAAAAAAAGTTTTCTGTTTATTTTAAAACCCGGTGTTGACAGACGAGACAATATTTCACCGTTTGGTTAGCTTAGTAAAGTATGAATACTTCAAATAATAGGAGGATAAACAGAACGCATTTTAATGTGTAATAAATCAGCCATAACAAACCTTATAAGTATATTTTCTTTTTTGCATTTGCTAGATGTTTAAATCTAAAGAAAATTTTACTTGAAAATATCCACGCGGACTAGACAGCAGACGGGACTCGAACCTGCACGCTTCGTTATCCGGGCGAATGCACTGACCATTATGATACTGCGGCCCTGTAGGCCGTGTCGAAATTTCTCTAACATTTCTTAGGCTGCAAGGCAGCGCCATCTCTTCGCATTGTAGGTAACCCACAATCCGCACTGGGTCCGTTATCACCTACCAATTCGCACTGGGTACGTTATCACCTACCAATTCGCACTGGGTCCGTTATCACCCACCAATCCGCGCTGGGTCCGTTATCATCCACCAGTCCGCTCTGGGTCCGTTATCACCCACCAGTCCGCTCTGGGTCCGTTATCACCCACCAATCCGCGCTGGGTCCGTTATCATCCACCAATCCGCTCTGGGTCCGTTATCACCCACCATCTCGCCCTGGATCCGTTATCATCCACCAATCCGCGCTGGGTCCGTTATCATCCACCAATCCGCTCTGGGTCCGTTATCACCCACCATCTCGCCCTGGGTCCGTTATCACCCATCAATCCGCGCTGGGTCCATTATCACCAACCAATTCGCACTGGGTCCGTTATCACCCACCAATCCGCGCTGGGTCCGTTATCATCCACCAATCCGCGCTGGGTCCGTTATCACCCACCAATCCGTGCTGGGTCCGTTATCACCCACCAAGCACTAGATTCATGTATTTTGTGTCGGGTATTGTTCATTGTTTACTGATGAGTCACCGATGACCCTAATCGTAACAGATTCGCCAGTTTACCCCCCAAGTCAAGCGTGCCTAAAGAAGTTACTAATTTACAATATGAATAAACGATAGCAGCAGCATGAACCCCGCTAACCGTTTTTATGTAGCACGAAAAAGAGAATGGATTTGGGTACTTATAGGTGTCAATCAATACCATTTTAAACTTCTACAAAAATTCATGAAAATCCATTCATCGGAAGCGTGACAACAAAACAGAGTTAATTTCGCATATGTGATAGATACGTAATTATGAACTTATATTGCTAACAAAGCGTAATTAGCTAATCAATCACCTCACACGTCATCATCATCATCATCAGCCTATTAATGTCCCCACTCCTGGGGCACAGGCACAGGTCTTCCCTATGGATGGAATAGGGGCCATGACCCACCACGCGGGCCCAGTGCGGATTGGTGGGTGCTAACGACTGCAGATACAGCCGGGACCAACGGCTTAACGTGCCTTCCGAAGCACGGAGGAGCTCGAGATAGTAAATTTTTGGGCATCCATCCAATGACCGACCACTGCGAAAGTTGCTTAACTTCAACGATCGCAGCCGAACGCGCTAACCACTGGTGCCATGGAGCTCCTCAAATCACCACCTCACACGTGCAGTAATTAATGTACTGATCATGAACAAAAGGTCCTTGTGGTCACACGCAACCGTCAATCGAGATTGTTATGACCAGAAGGCCAATCGCTAACGGGATTGCTATGGCTATCGCTTACGATATTATTTTGTTATTTATGACTGCCGAAGGTTTTCATATGCCTCGCGCTCTTAAAACTATACTAAGATTGTTTTATATATTTTAACTGGGTCAGTGTGTGTAACTGAAAATAACTATATCATTGTTACTGATAAAGATACGATTAACCCGCAAGAACCGTAGCACTTTATCCATAGCGTCTTCTGTGATAAAAATGATTTTAAAAGGTAAAAATAAACTCACGACAAAATGTTCTATTTATCAGGGAGCCAATCGCCTAACGGAAATGCTTTGGAAAACGCTAACGCTTACGATTTTATGTTGTTATTTCTAGCCGCTTTTTCTTTTGCATTGGTAATAACAATATTAAAAAAAATGAGCGTGAGGTATTCGAAAACCTCAGGCGGCTAGAAATAACAATATAAAATCGTAAGCGTTAGCTTTTCCCAAAGCATTTCCGTTAGGCGATTGGCCCCCAGTTATCAGACAGAATGGCTACCTTGCGATCCCCAAAATAATTTCGTACCTACCTACCACTCAAAAACTGCTGTTAAATACAAATAGCATAGATCGGATATTGTTATTCTTAACGACGCATATCGATTAAGCTAGGATTACCAAAAATACATAGTTCGGTTCCTTGTGTCTAAACTAGTACTAGATGTAATTTCCAAGTTATGTTGGCCATCGTACGTACTTCATAAAAACACCACTAGATGTCTGCAAACTATAAATTTATCGCTGTTAAGAGATGGTTACAAATTTTCTTTTCTTATTTGGCAAATTTTTGAGATTTTTCAATTTGACCTTAGATTTGGGGGGGGGGGGGGGGGGGGGGGTCATGTCCCCTGTGACCCCCCCCCCCCCCCCCCCCCCATCGGACCGCGCCTGAATAGATTTGTTAATTTAAGAGTAGGTACCTAATAGTCGTTCAACTTTTCATGAGAAAATTAACTAATATAAAATTAATTTTCTCATGAAAAGTGACTTAGACGAACGAATTACTTAAAATATAGACTCTTTCCAAAATATATAGCGGTGACGACGAGCAACTACGGCGCCCTACACTGCGCGTTCCACGACGCGCACTTCGGCGGATTTTGTTTTTATTCAGATTAAGTGTAATAGGTAAACTATATATCGTCGAAATACCTACTTACCTGCCGACGCACCGGACGCTTTCTGTAGCTATTTATATTTCCAATTCAGTTAGCTAACACTCAAATCCGTTGCTAAATTCATTCGCGATAACAAGTACTACGCAATAGTTAGGAAGAAAGGCAGCGCATAGTGAATTTTTCCGCTCGAATTGGATCGCCCGTCTGGGGAAGTAATCTCCACCTTACAAAAGAATGCGGTGAAAAAAAGGATTTTTATACCTTCCATTATAATTAAAAAGGCTTTTGATATCTTCTTAAAATTAGTTACGATTTCGGTTGTGTGCCACAAGTTCTTGGTCGCACTGCTGGTGAATCAAATCTAGAAGAAAGCTAATGCTGATGCGACAGCAGGAGCGGATTCAAAAATGGCGGGGCCCTGGGCTGAAATTGATGCGGGGCCCATTTAAGGATATGAAAATCATCCGGTTCCCAATTGTACAAAATTCCGCTTTTATGCATAATATGCAGACGAATTTGCACGCATTTTAGAATGTAGAAGGGAGGGATACATGTACAGGTCAAACTTCTTTTCGGTATTTCATGGGATGCCCGGGGCTCTAGCCCCCCCAAGCCCCTACGTGAATCCGCTCCTGTGTGACGGAAAATGATGCCACTCCAGTCCTGTCTGTCTTACCTCATAATGCTGTCATAAACTTAATCCCCTACGCTAGAGTCCTGTCGTGTGTAACCGATATGATTTGAGTATTGTATTCTAATTTTAAATCACACCGCAGATTCTGAAGTGTAAAGCACATGAGTACGGACTGTACTTTTCTTTACTCATGCTGGAACCTTACATCTACATACTTCTCAGCCATACGACGCCCACTGCTGAGTATAAGCCCTCCCCAAGGATCTCCATATAGATCGGTCCTGTGCCACGTGCATCCATAGGCTTCCCGCGATCTTCACCAAATCGTCTTTCCACCTGGGGAGGGGGAATCTTCCCACCGAACCTTACATACCTACCGAGTCTATGATGTTTTAAAGTTATAAATACGTCATACACGTTTCTAATTTGGAAATACGCAAGTCAGATAATTGCCCGACTTGCATTCAGTCGGGCACTCTCGCCGCGGCTACACTTTGCTACAACGTGTAAATATTTTTACGTTTTTGCAGACTAAAAGCCCTATGTATGTTTTAAGATAGTACACAAAATACACTATTAGAGACAAGAAAATCGTGTCATTTTAAAGAAATTACTGTAAAATTATTTAGTGCTCATTTATTTTGACAGTTGACAGACTCTTTAGAGTTTTACAATCTATGTGTCTAAAGAGTAAGATGT